TTCCTTTTTTATCAAACGCGTCGTGGAGAAAACCAATCCCAAAAGCTGCAGTGTGGCGCTGCAGAACCGTCAGACTTAATGCTGCAAAGTGGTTAAATTATAAGAAAGGGCACCTTTAGAAAAATGATGCTTTTTCTTGAAATAACCAAATTGCTTTGGTAAGAAATGTAAATTACGTTGTTATAATCCAAGACTTTCAAATATGAAATCAAGTTCATTTTCCAAAAAGCTATATTTCTGAACTTCACATACTGGCAACTCCAGACTCTAGTGAGAGGTAACTTTTGAGAAACATCAATCCCCAGAAATCCAGCAAGGTGACATCAAGTAAAAGCGAACACAGCACGCTCGTGTTTGCCGTCCCATCCAAACTCTGAGGCTTTAAACCAAAGGAAACCCCCAGGAAGCGCAGGGGCAACACATCTGACGCTGGATGAGTCCAGCCTTCTCTGGACGGAGACGCTCACAACTCTCTAATTCCAATTTGTCCTTTTCCTGTGAGCAAGGATGCGTTCATAACACATGCCAGAGTTTCATTTTGGAAGGAATCCATGTTGACTCAGTAAGTGGGACTGAATGACACACTAACAGTGCAACCTCATTATGTGATTGTGGCTGATAAACTGGCTGCACGTCCGGATTAAAAAAGTAAATAAGATTTCCTGCCACCAGATATTAGCATCCAATTTACATGTGGTATTATTATTATACAAGTAATGTTAAAGCCGCTGTGATGGACTTGAATTTTGGGTTGATTCTGGTGCCCCCTGTGGACAAAAGCGGTAGTGTTTCTACCACCTCATTTCATTGATTTCAATGGGTATCCGCCATAATCCAACGTGGGGGCAGGCATTAAGAATAACTATACAGAAACAGCCAATCTTCTCCCTATAGCTTAAGAAGAGCCCATAAAGGAAAACTTCATCTTTCAGTTTCAATTGAACTACTTAAAATCAACAAATCTGCCATGGTTTTTTACTAATACGGTAATACGGATATAATTACGTATAAACGGTTGGTTTGTTATACATCATGCAAACAAAATAATTCCTTTTAGTATTCCTTGAACATCCATATAAGCTATTGTAACAGAAAGACAGACTATTAGCCGCTGTAAGTTTCTTCTGTTTGACATTAAATGCTGAAACTTAGTCTGCAGTAAGTGAGTTGACACTCTCGCCTAACGGTCTTTTAATTGTTCTGAATCACTGCAACCCACTGGCCCAGTCTTTGCCGTATTACTTAATTAAACGATTACTCGGGCGTGACATACGATCCGGTCACCGGCTTTTATTCCTGCAGTCTTTCAGCTCCATTTATCTCAGAGAGCTTGCTGCTTTATTGAACAAGGAGGAGTGGCGTCAGAGCAGATGGATACACCCTTACGAGCTGAGTGACACTAACAAGGTTTTGATAGTGGATGAGAGCGAGGTGATGGATATAGTGGATGGACATGGAGGATATGGGTGTCAGGCATCCCAAGGCCTTTCATCAGAGCGGCGGGCAGACCTCCACTGTAGGAGAAGGTGAACTGGCACCATGAGACTCTCATCAGCCTGGGCAGCAGTCGTTTTCCTTCTCATACAAGGAGCATCAAGAGCCTGCACAGGTACAGCAGCTTCTGTTTTACACTCAGTCATATGCTGCCAAATATCTGATTGTTCACTCTTATTTGCTGATGAGTCTCAGACATGAATACTTAAGTATTATTTGCGTTATTCTGACCAAATCTTTGCATTTAAGGTTTAGTATTCAGAATTATTTTAGTCAGTTTGAGAAAATAAGCTATATGTGAGATATGGCATTATAATAATAAAACAGAATGGCATTAAAGTGCTTAAAAAATGAAATAAATACATAATTTCAGACAACAATCATAATGAGAAATTAGACAAAAATCACAACAACAATGAGAATAATAACACATTATGGAAGTTTTTCTATGTGTGTGTATATTATTGTTGTTTGGTCAGAGTGGTGAATTATTGGATGAAGGTTATCAAGCCATTAGTTATTAACTGATAGTACTGCTAAAATAAGGGTTATTGTGATTGTTTTTACAGATACTATGATTAGTAAGAATTATAATTTTTTCATCAAAATTACATTTTTAGAGGGAATAAATGAGTCAAATCGTGATGTGATATTTTTTGGGGTCTTATTTATCAAAAAATTGCAGCTCCTGTGATTTAGATATTGCACTTGGCCATATTGCGATAATATTTTAATTAATTTTGCAGCTAAAAATACAGTATGCAGCTATGAAATATGTTGAATTATTTTGTTTTAATTTTTATACTGTTATTTATAAAGCTTTGTTTGTAAAACAGACCAAAACAAATTACATTTAAAAATGTGACATACATAATTATAATTAAATAAAACTGACCCTTAAATACATTTGCAAATAACAAATATTAGTAATCTTGCTTGAAAGTTAGTAAAATTAAATATTTTAGATTTGATTGCATGGAAATTTGAAATCAATATAATGCAGCACATACCATTTATTAGAGTAGAATTCCTTAAACCAGCATAATAAATATAGTTAATTAAAATTTCTTCTTATTTAAACTGTGAAAAAAAGGTTTTATTTGCAATTGCTTTAACCACTTTTACATATAGGTACATTTTAATCAACTAGCTCTTTTTTAAAATAAAGAAACTGTTTATTTCAAGTAGCACAGGCCTTTCTAAAGAATGACAATATAAAAAATAAAACACTGAATGTTTGACTTCTTCAGATGATTATTTTGTACATTTGCAGTGAAGAAACTGGGCGGCAGCACAGGAAGATTTGCCAACGCCACATTAGTGCGTCTATCTGAGTTTCTGAGTGCGGGGTATAAGAAGGGAGTGAGGCCAGTGAAGGACTGGAGGACGTCCACTATAGTGGCCATAGACCTCATGGTTTACTCCATCCTCAATGTGGTGAGTTAGTCCTACTGCGTTTGTCATAACTACTATAATTATAGTTTTATATGCCATATTTTATCTGCATAATTATCTGAATTACACATACTTTAGTTTTATTGGGTTTGTAACACTTTAAATGAACCTTATATTAATACAGCGTGGATGGATTAACCTGCCTTGCTCCCTGTGGCAAACATTAGCTGCAGATTTTGTACAGACTGTCCTCCCATGCTGGAACACTACCAGGCCCCAGTGCTAATGTGATTAAACGCATTAATTTAGAAAAACACACAAACCTTGAGACAGGGAAGCTCTTCTTATAATAAAGCAACCACCTTAATCGAGTCCCTTATCGTGTCAGCTGATATTGTGCTTCAATGATGCATATTCCCAATCGCATTTCCAATTAAATTAGCACAAACTAGTTGACTTGCAGGAAGACTGGAGCTTGTGTGTTAGAAAAATGGTGTTTTAAAATCAGACTGGTTGGAGTAAAAGCTCAACGGGCCCAATTTACTGCTGGTGTTACTAAGAAGATAAACAATGGCTGCATCGTATTCAAGTGTTACTGTATGAAGGTGTCACAGTGAGCCGTGACTGTGGTAATATTGTATGGGAACTGATCCATTTTGTGGATAAATATAAATGTGATCCCTTATATGCCATGTGTTATTTTATTTTTATATTTCTTTATATATTCTTATTGTCATTATTTTAAAATTATTTATTTGAATCTTTATTTATAATTGTTAATATATGTAATAACTTTAATATATTATTTATTTTGTATGAATATTGAGCAAATAATATGTATAAATATTACAATACAAGTAATAATATGAAATAATATAATATGAATTAAGAAAAATGTTTCTCTGAAAACAGGATGAGAAGAACCAGGTTTTGACAACATATGTGTGGTACAGACAGGTAAGAGACAACATGTACTGTAAGTTATCAATCAATCAATCAATCAATCAATTAATTAAACTAGGGATGCACAGTATTATTCTGACAGATATTGCGATATGACGCAGGATAAGTGTCGGAATGATCTTTTTTGCATCACAAATTTCATTTTCAATAAAAAACTATTAAAATCATTATGATGTGAACTTTTTTTTTTTTTTTTTTTACTAAACAAACATGTTTTCTTACAAGATTTGTAGGCCAGGTATCTCTGCAGCGCTACAGTGCAGCTTCTGTGATTTGTATATTGGGATTTTAATAATATTTCGATTAATTGTGCAGCCCCAAATTAAACCAATTTGTCATGTTTATAACAGAAAACTCATAGGACCATTTGTAATTACATTTAGTTCAATGACAATTTTAATTGTGTGCCAATAGGAGCTACAACGGTTAATCTATTAGTCAACTATTAAAAGAATCGCCAACTAGCATCTTAAATGTGAACATTTTCTGGTTTCTTTAGTTCTCTATGACACTGAACTGAAACTAATAATAAAATAATTTACAGATTAATCATAAAGACAATAGACAATAAAAATAAGTGTTAGTTGCAGCCCTGGTGATATAATGTATTTGCTGTTACTAAAACACTGTGTTTGAACACGTGAAATCTGTTTATGATCATATTTCTGAGGTGTTTTACTCATTATTTTCCTTCCATTCTTGAATATTTGAGTCTTGGACAGATGAATTCCTGGTCTGGAACCCAGAAGACTTTGATGAAGTCAAACAAGTTTCTTTACCCACTGCTAATGTGTGGGTGCCCGACATCCTCATCAATGAGTTGTAAGAGCTGCTGCTGTTCATACACTTATTACTCTACCAGGGCTTCACTCTGTACTCCAAAAACCAACTGTTGTTGTCTCTAACCTGCAGTGTAGACGTGGGGAAGTCTCCAGACATACCTTACGTCTATGTGACTCATGACGGACTGGTGCGTAACTACAAGCCCATCCAGGTGGTCACAGCCTGCACTCTCAACATCTACAACTTCCCATTTGATGTCCAGAAGTGCAGCCTCACCTTCCAGAGTTGGCTACACACCAGTGAGACAATCTTCAATTACACTGCACACATTGCACAAGTGTGATTGAACTTTTTTGGTTTAAAGGGACAGTTCGCCCCAAAATCAATACATATTTGTCCTCGTCCTCCTGTGGTGCTATTCTCCATCTCTGTGCATTTGATTGATCGGCTTGGGGTGCTCAAATTGCCAAAAAATATATATTTGAAAAACTCAATAGCAATGTCTTTTCCCAGAAATCCCAGACCCTGTCACTCAAAATGATCCACAGACCTTGTTGTGAGCAGTTTCATGTAGGAACCTTTTTCTTTCTATGTACCATAGCGCAGAAGGTAGCATGCATTACTCAAGGACGACGTGAAGGCAAGGGATGTAAACATTAAATATTGGAATAATGTAAGCAAGGCAATATATATGTTGTCATGTAAGCAGAACAGTAGGATCTTTATCACCATCCCTATAACATCCAAGTTTATGTTTACAACACTGCTATCTAGCAGTTGGGGGTTTAAACAAAAATATTAATACGGAGGTTTTGAGAATGTCCCTTTATAACATCACATTTTCCAACATTATTCATTAGGTTGAAAAAGTTAAAACCTGAGAAAAAAAAGAGCATTTGAGTGTTTGATCATATCATTGGTCATATACATTTTGTTTTTTAGTTTTAGTTTGAAAGTATTCCGATTTTTTTTGCCTCTATAAGCATGTGTATAATTTCCTTCACAGATGAATAGATTAAAAAAAAATTGTGAGCATGGCCGTTTGTGGCTTCCGTACAATAATCTCTCAGTTATCTTTTACAGCTCATAACTAATTTCTAACATTTTTGAAGTATTTACTTCACATTAGTAACATCCCTGCAGCTCTCTCAGTGACTCACATTATCTACATTTATGCTGCTCTTGATGTAATTCTGGCAAAATGTAACAAAAGAATCACTGGTGTTAGAAAATAACATCCAACTCAGTCAGTCAGCTGTTCTCATCAGGACTTTAGTAGAACAACTGTTCTGTTCTGGGCGCCCTGCTGTGACGTGTGCTCTGAGAGCAGAGTGGTGGGTGAAAGGTAACTTGTTGCCATGGCTGTTTCACACTGCTCCCATCATTGTGTTCGATCTGCAGTTGACGACATCAACATCACCCTGATGCGAAGCCCCGAGGAGCTCAGGGAGGACAAGAGTGTCTTCATGAACCAGGGAGAGTGGGAGCTGCTCCATATTCTGTCCAACTACAAGATCTTCAGTGTGGACAATGACGACTATTACGCTGAGATGAAGTTCCATGTGAGTATTTAAACTTTCAAGTTACACGTGTAGTATCACAGGGTGGCCAAAGACCTGCCAGACTGCTGTTATTGTAGACATTCAGTATCTTCTTTCATTCAACCATCCTAGTCCAGACTTAAAGCTACTTAAATGTACTCAAATATCGTTACAGCTTATCTGTCAAAGGCAAGAGTTTAATGTTTGAAATGTGAAGAATTACTGAGCTGCATTGAACACACAGTGGCTGGATTTTAGATATGAAAGATGGAGACTTTTGGGTTATTGACTCAAGGTAGCTACCACAAAGGTTTACTTAACAAAATAAAATGATTATAACTGAAAATGTTTTAATTAAATTAAGGCCTATTCACTGCAGCTAGGTCCTGTCACTGTAAAAAGGAAAATAATTGTAATTTACTGACAGTTTTAGAGTGATTATACTAATATACTAACTTATACTACGAACAATACTTATAATTATATATAATTATAATACTGCTGTAAATAATTTAAATAAAAGAACAACAAAGAAACAAAATAACACATGTAAGGTACCTTTAACATAAAAATACTCACTAAATCGAGATGTATAATATAAGAAAACCCTAACTCTCACCCTAAGAGACTCATTTAAAATAAAATAGTACTAAACCCTAACTCTCTGTCTCTCTTAATATATATATATATATATATATATATATTACTTTCTTAGACAGCAGACAAACACATTCATAAATAAAATAAAAATAAACGAGGGGGGGGGGTAAATTCGTTCCCTCTCTGTTTCTCTTCTTCATCTTCTGCCAATCACAACACTGACTGACGCCTGATATTACCAATACAAACAAAAATATATTTCACTGCAGGTGTAGTCTGTATTTCAGTTATCCTCAAATATTTATCTGATATTATCATTATTCACTACTTCAGTTGCTTATTGAACTATGTACATCTCTTGTTATTTAAAGTTAAAATGCATCTTTTTGCTGTTTTTATCAAACTTTATTCAGAATTACATTAATTTAAATTCATACTTTTGACACAAGTCTACAAATATTATTTTTAAACAGACATTTTGAGAATAGTTAAAGAAAATTCTCTACTGTTAACTCAGGAATAAAGACTAAAAAAGGACATTTAATAATTGTACAATTTTGTGAAATATCCTTATTTGTCTTTATGGTAGTGAGTTTAGCTGATTAATATAAATCTCAGGTCTGTCCATTAAGCACAGTGTTTCCTTTATAGCATAAAAAGCCAAATATCTGTTTAGCTGCAAACGCTCAGAACCACAAATCAATGGCTGATACCAAATAAACAGTGATATTCTTCAACTTTCGATGGATAAACTGTTGTTTTTTGACAGTTCTGACGTGAGCCAGATGAGCTGTTTCCAGTCTATGCTAAGCTATAAGCTAACCACATCCTGCCTCCCCCACAACAGCCATTTTTAACTTCAGATCTACCTCCCTCCAGGTGGTGATCCGGCGGCGACCGTTGTTCTACACCGTGAACCTGCTGCTGCCCAGTATCTTCCTGATGGTGATGGACATTGTGGGTTTCTACCTGCCACCAGACAGCGGAGAGCGGGTTTCCTTCAAGATCACACTGCTGCTGGGCTACTCTGTCTTCCTCATCATTGTATCCGACACTTTGCCTGCCACCGCTATAGGAACCCCGCTGATAGGTGATCCATTACGGCTTATCAGGAGCTTGCATTTAGGAAAGGATTTCTGTAAGGAAACTGTTCAGGCAAACAACTGCTTTCTTTTTAACCTCTAAAGAAATGTGGAAATTAGAAAAACAGACAAAAAGTTGGTAAACTATAATATTAGAAGAGCACAAAACAAAACTGAGCAGCAATTATTCTCCATCTATCTGCTTTTAAAGAGAATCCACAACATCTTGTGTCATCTCACCCGTTCTCTAGGTGTATACTTCGTGGTTTGCATGGCCCTCCTGGTGATCAGCCTCACAGAAACCGTGCTGATTGTGCGTCTGGTGCACAAGCAGGACTTGCAGACCCCTGTCCCCCACTGGGTGAAGTACCTGGTGCTGGAAAGGGCTCCGGTCCTCTTCTGCATCCACAAGAAGCACCGGCTCTGCTCCAGACTGTCCTCCCAGGCCTCCGACCTGGAGCACTACAAGGACAACAACTATGGGACCGGTAAGGTGGTTTTCAGTCTTTCAGGTCTTTCATTCAGGTTTTTAATCAAACCAACCCAATTCACTTTTCTTTTTCAGCCCAGTGCACCCTCCACCACACCTGCGAGATAGGCCGAAGGCTCAGCCAGCACGACAGAGAAGGTGGGCTGCTCGGACTGGGGCTGCCCCCCTCCAGAGACCCCACACCGCCTGTCATGGACAACATCCTGCAGGAAGTGACAGCGATACGCCACTTCCTGGAGAAGAGGGACAGGTGCCGGGAAGTTGCCAAGGAGTGGCTGCAGGTCGGCTACGTGCTGGACGTGCTGCTCTTCAGGGTGTACTTAGTGGCCGTGGTGGCCTACAGCATCACACTGGGCACGCTGTGGTCAGTGTGGCAGGTCGCCTGAGTCTCGCCCCTGTACTGCTGTGGACACGAAGCTCAGTGGGTAGAGCATAGAATTAAAGAGGCCAGAGTTATTGGCTCTATGCCCTGTGTAGCTCAGCGGATACAGGGAGGCTCTGTAATGGGACAGGGAAAGGCTTCCTGCAGTTGGGGCCTGTGTACAAAAGGTTAAGGGTTCGCCACTGTATCCCCACATTATTATTATCATCAGCAAAAGTTTAGGTTTAATCATAAAGTTCCTTGATATAAATGCAACCTGAGATGCTTTTCAGGACCAGCTAAAGGCTTTTTCAGATGCCCAAGCAGAGATTGACACCATCCCCACAGACAAAGATTAATATACAATAAAGTTAAAATACATGAAGCTATCTGTTAAGTAGAGTTTATTTTTGTGCAGTGCAAATATAAAAACAGTTTATACATTTATTCACCTAAATTATGTAAAAAAAAAAAAAAGGTAAATTGTAATAATGGACGGCCCTGAGGAGCCCTTAAAAAACCAATTCGTTTGTTTCTGTTTTGGTCAACAAATATGGAGTATCGCTGTCATCATTTGTGCTTTTAAAAGCCTGCGTTGGTCAAACCTGAGAGGAAAGTGGACAAATTGTCGTGATAAAGGTTAAACCTGAAGATATCCAGCATATATCCCAGAATACAGTTGGGACTCAGAGAGGGGCTGGTGGGGGCAGGAGGATATTTGTTAACTTTTAATATTGCTGTGTAAAAACATCTATATAAATATGTAAAGTATTTAGATGGATTAATTAATTAAAGGAAGTTATATTAATGTGGTATTAACTGCATGTACCCCTTGTATTGAATGTGGAGTTATTGTTGAAGAGATGCTTATTATTTGTCTATTTTGATGTAACTTTAAATCACAAGTCTGTAAGTAAAATGATAGAAACTTATAGAGCTTCAAATGCAATACAATGTTTAACTTTAATGTGCCACATATTATAAAATCTGTCTAAACTATAATGTAGTAATGTTACATATGATTTTTTGTAACTCACAGCTTGGATAACACATGCTTCTGTACACAGTAACAGATGTTAATCTGTTTTTTACCTTTTATTTAGTTGCGTTGCTGTGTCAACAAGAGATGATGATGTAATTATTATACAATGAAAGAGAAATAATTGCCTATATAATCAATTTTAATAAATGTAACAATGTTTCATCCTTACAAGCAGTTAACAGTGCTCATATATGTTCAGCTTTTACCATCTTCCCTTTAGTTTTTATGGAAGGCCATTCAGGCCGTAATTACATATATTAAAAAAAGTAAATAAATCACATTATGAATAAATAATTGGATTTTTAATGCGTCAAAAAGTGTAAAGTAATATGAAATACATTGTTTAATCTCATGCCATTATTATGAAATGCTTTTTTCATCATTGTTTTTTTCACAATAACTAGCTGCTAACCTGGACCACACAGACACAATGTCACTGTGAAACCGAAACAGACTTGATCCATGCAAAAGTATTTATTATTTATTTATTAGTATTTATTTCCTCACAGCCTCACTTTTTATTTAATTAGTTTTGTCCCACATGGATTATTTGGAGCTTTTCCATGAGTCCAAGTGTTTGAAAAGGGGAATACAATCAATTGGGTGTAGAATTATTACTCAACTGAAGCTGTTACTGTAACACATGGCTCTATAGTCTTAGTCTGCATTACCTTGTTTACAAAATAAATCCATAGTGTGTATTAGTTTTGTAGATAAAACTGGGGGATTAAATGTTCCATTTGTTGAGAAATGTCTCCTACATCTAAAGAAATTCACCAAAGAATATTTTTTTGTCTTATATCATGAACATTTGACATTGAAGTATTGCTTCTGTAAATTGCATGTAATAAGAATAAGGTGATTATTTCTGATTTCTGTTAATTGTGTCAAATACATTGTTTTTAATGTAAACTTAATCTATAATCAGGAAGTAATGTTCATATTTAAATCTATTTAAAAGTGAGACCTGAGTACAGAGTAAAAATAGTATAGAATATATTCATATGAAGAATATGAATATATATATATTGTATAAAGATACAAGCATACTGGTGTAATGTTAAACACTTAAAATCAAAGATTAGGCTTCTTAATAACCACACTGTAATAGGATTGTCTGTGAGCTGTCTGATCTATATTAAATTGTTAAATTGATCATGATGAAATGTGTCAATACACTGCTGATGTTTCCCTGTTTATCCAGGTGTATCCATATAGAGTGCACAGGTACTACACTGCTCATTCCTTATGAGTTCACTCCTGCAGTGCACCACAGCAGCCAGAGGATGGAAGCATGCACAACAGCATCAGCGCCCCTCAACAGCAGAGAGGTTTTCTCATCCTGAGATAGTGTTAACATCAATAAGTCAGTTTTAAAAATGTAGATATTGGTTTTCTTTTAGTTTTATGCTGTTCCTGTTTATAGCTGTTATAGTAGTTGTTTTATACAGATATTGTCTTATTGTCTTCATGTAAAGTGCCTTTGAGTACCGTTTAAAGCACTACATAAAATAAATGTGTTATTATTATTAAAATAAAACCACAATGTGAAAGAGATCAATTACAGCATAAGAATTCAAAAGCAGGTATGAATTAAACTAGGATCACATTCACACATTTTCTGTGCATATTAGGGGAATTAGATTGAATATAATCAAATCAAAAATCATAGTGAAGTGAGGTTTATGTTTGTACTGTCCAATAAAGAGACACCAGTATCAGTCAGTGTGGAGCGTGAACTTATTATTTACAGTTACAGAAACTCACATCCATTAAACAATGGAGATATGTTAGGAGTATAATAAAAATGCCTGATCCTATATAATCATTAAACTGTAGATTTTGTATATTATTTGTCTACCTTCACTGTATTCTGCCTTATTATTGTGCTTCATTGTGTCATTATTTCCTATTTTTATTACTTTATTCCCACGATTATTAATCTCACTTTTACTTTGTGACCATGAAATGCATGTAGATTATGTGAGCTGTATGTGGAGGTGGGCAGAGGCTGGGGGAGGCTGGGGGAGGCAGGTGAAATTGTACATTATGTTTCATTGTGAGACCCCGAGTTTGAAAATAAATAAAAAATCAGTTGCTCTTGCAAAACTGGCCTTCGGAGGGCATCAGCGTATCTATTTATTGTGCCTTTTGCAGTAATAAAAAAAGCATCAAGTACAAGTGTATTCAGTTGTTTGTTTATTTGTGTAAGGTTGCTTCTTATGACATAATATCAGCAATCTGTTCAGTGTTAGCTGCTAACAATCCTGATATAGCTATATATCTGCTAAATGTTCACTCCCTACGACACTGGTTCACAACCTTTTTCCTTTTCTATCATTTCGTAAATTGACTAAGTCACATATTTCATTTTTAATGAATCCAAACAGTGAACTCAGTAACTGCAGGAAGTGTGTGTAAAACGAGAGATTTGGATGAATTCTGAGCAGATTATTTCCTGTTCAGGGAACTTTTTTATACAATTCTCTCATACTACATCATACTCTCAGTACTTTTAATCATTTAACAATCATACAGACTTAATAGGATTCTTTTTTGACAAATTCAGTGAAGTTTTCTTGTTCCTGTCACTTGGTCATTGTTCTATTAGACAGACATTTACTTTTCTTCACAGAAATGAACACATTGTTGAGATACAGGCCTACTGTGAATATTTAAAGTAAATAAGGCCTTGCAACCTCCCATGGAGCTTTGGCGAGCACTAGTGGGGGTCCCGACCCCCAGGTTGCGAACCACTGCCCTACAATGTGCAACATGTCACTCCGATCTGGTTGCATTAGTGTTGTGTGATATGATATACTGGAGGGAGATTTGTTAACTTGTTAATCAGAATTTTGCCGGAGTATTTATGCGTTTGATTTTATCCACAGATAGAGGACTCTGCCAGCTCCTCATTAAATACTTCACAGCTAGAAATAAGAAGACAATCTCCATTTTATACCTTTGTAACACAGTATTATTCAAATGTGACAGGGAATTTGGGTGGGTTTTCTCATGTTTCTGTCTTTTTTTCACCTTTTTTTCTCCTCGGGTTATTTTGTTGTTATTAATGTTCCTCTTGTTCACTTAGTGACTGAATGTCAAGGATACCTGTATCACACATCCTCCGGCTTTGTGATTGTTAACATGGGCTGAATGCTGAACTGAATGCCTGCATGTTGTTTGTACCTGAAGCAGACTGCTAAATATAAACATGTTAGAAACATACATGAGAGAACGTGAACATATGATCTCGAACACAAAGCTCAAAGCCTGGCTTAATAAAGTCTGGTGTAGTTTAATTTAAAGCTTCATTTTAAAACCCTAAAAACAAGGAACATCATTGAAGGCTGGCAACCTGAAGACTCCAGCCTTTTAGATATGTGGGTCAAAGATCAGTGCTGAAAGCTCACGCTCAACACAAAGGCCCTTCACTGTTCATATCACCATCCCCACAAACCATTCACCAACCCCTGCCCCTTCCTTCCTAATACCCCAAAATAAGATCAAAGTCACACCAAAGCAACAAAGTCCAACAAAACCCTCACAATGAGACTTTTTTCCTCTCATTTCCTGTTTGTGTTTTCTGCCAAAATCTAAAAAAGTAAAAGAAAAACACAAACAAACAACAGAGCTTTTATACTTGAGTGCATAAGTGGACAAGGAGAGTGGAGAGCTGCCTCATTAGTTTCCAATACACTGAAGTCAAGATCTGATCCTGTGTGCCAGGGAGAGGAAATGAGCAAGTATAGTGGCATTACTGGGACGTATTGGAGACACTTTTGATGTGATTTTTTATTTGTCGGACACACAGACAGGCTTTATTGGGGATGAAATTACAGCTACCAGCTGACAATGAGGATTTATTAGTCTGATACAGTTTTTGAAGCACAATGAAGGGCTATATTGGGGATCTGGCATGTTTTAGCACATTAAATCAGATATATGTAACAGTATTTCCAAGCAATTCCCTATGCACAGTT